TAATGTATAATCTGGATCATAACCTTTGTGATCTTAGCACACGGTGTGTTTGTGCTCATGTCGATGTTGGCATTCATTTCTTGAGCCCACCTGAAAAGGGGCACTCCCTCTGTTTAGATTAGTAGAATGAGCTAACGGCTGATTAAAGTTAGCAGTTACAGTTTCACATTTTTCACGTATCTTTTATCCTCTTCTCATTCATTTGGAATGGTGCTTATCAGCTGACTTTTGATAGACCCACTCCTCCGTCAGTGAGAGAATCTGCATTCCACCATAAAAAGTCCTGAGTAGATTAGCAGCCCCACTTGGCCATCGAAGCCCCCAGTCCTGTACATGTCCTTCTTAATAGCTTAGTGTCTGGGCTCCTCTGTCCAGCTATACTGTTACAACTGAAATGAAATAAGAGACCTTAAAAGTTTTGCATTGTTTTAAATGTCAGTATCCCACTGCTGTGTTAAGCAGAATGACCTTTTTATTCAGGAACATACGGGAGTTGCACTGAGTTCAGTCATGAATACAAGGTTAACCCAGATGTGGTCAAAATGTGTTGAGTAATTTTAAATGGTACATTTTTGGTTGCTATGAAATATAGTGTTATATGTTTCCAAGGAAGATGTAATGGGGAGATGCAATTCAGCATGAGTTGTATGGAAAATGATCGAGCTGTATAACATAAACAGCAACAAATGAGAACTGTATTATTCTCACTGTATTATTCAACAATCTGACTACTTAACCCTCACTACAATCAAAAGAGATTCTTTCTGTCTGAAGGGAAATAGGCATCACATGATCACATCATGTACTTATCCAACATTGGGTCGTAGGCAAAAAGTAATGTTACAGCCTTTTTCCAAAACTAACTGGATTTAATAAAAAATGGTTTAATACTGACTATTCATACCTTCACTGAGGTTTATAAGAACCCTCCCTTACCTTACTTTTAGAACAGCTGTTCATCTGCAAATCATGTAAAACCAAATGAAAGAAGAAAATGTGGCATATTCATGCCTGAAACTCTCTTTTGCCCTTTAAGTGTTGTGCTGGTTGTTTCTTGGAATGGGATATGTGCTTACATTACGTTTATGCTATTTAGGTTTAAGAACTGGCTCATGTAGTTCTGTTCCTCTTTTGGATCTGGAAATGCATGAATCAAGCCGCAGAGTATCTTTTGTGAGCTCATCTCCAAAAGATCATCTTGAACTAAAGGGAATGATGGTGGTATACACCCTTAGGCTGATTAATGGTCACCTTCCAGATGCACAAAACCACTGCATAAAATGCAGCTGTTCCTGGATGTATTATTCCTCTTGGATGAATCCGTTTCAGTAGCTTTTCTATAAAATAAAGAACAATTCCACACCAGTTCATCAATGAGAAGAACGTTTTTTTTTGTAATTTGTTTTACAGATGAACATTACAGAGAATTGCAGTGGCCCATTGCAAAGGAATTGACATTCAGATGGAAATAAGTAAATAACCATTGCTTGTGTCTAGAGCACATTTGCTTGATAGTCTTGGTCAAAATGGTGGCATGTCATAATACTGGACTCCTTGAAACTGGAAGCCATATATTTGTTAAAAGAAATTCCATTGTTTCATTAGATATTTTTTGCAGTGGTTCCCAGTAGATCCATGCCATTTCTTAGCAAAGAGAATGGTTTGAATTTGAAAGACTAAAAAGGGAAAGGTACACATTATATCTGTCTTGGGGCACAGCGTACGGTTTTTAACCTGAGATTCTGTTCTGCCTTCCCTCTCTTTCTTTGTCTCTCAGAGTTGGCTGGGAAAGTCCGTTTATCTGAGGCTGCCTTGTTTTTCTCTGTTGGGGATTGATACACTGAAGATAGATGAGTGTTTTGACATGGAGAGTGCTAGACAAACAGCCTTATCTGCACACTTCTTTATCCTGACCCCCTGAACAAGATGCTGAAAACCACAGTCTTTTTTAGGGTGGAGGTGGTGTGTGTGTGTGTGGGGGGGGGGGATTCTGAATCTTCTGCAGACAAAAGAAAAGGGAGTGCCTTTCATTTCGCTTATAAATATATTGTCCCTCTCAAGACTCGTCATGAACAACATAACGGGATTCTGGGAAATTTGATTGTAAGAACTTTCTGGCCATGCTCTGATACGCAAGTTGCAAGTTTGTTTTACAAACATTTTTCAGTGGCAGCAAATGATTGAGACCTAGAAAAAGTTTGCGTAACTTCTTATCCAAATAATTTGTTCTGTTATTTTATAAGTAATTAAAAATATCAAATGTGGACTCTGCTCTAGATGAGGAAATAAGAACATAAACTTAAGATTGGCCAGATGGCCTCTTTTCTTATCGTGCCTGTCTGGCTGCTAGCAGCGAACTGATCTTATCCAGCTGTTCCTTGAAGGAAGTCAAGGTACCAGCTTCAACAGCATGACTGTGCGGCTTGTCCCAGACACCGACAGTCCTTTGTGCTTGCTGTTTTCAGATTTGCAAGCACTTCCCAATAGTTAGTTAGTGCTCGAGTTGTCTGGTTTGTGTTTCATAGCAGATCTTGAAGAATTTCATTGAGTGGGATGAGAATTTCATCAATACCTCTGAGGATTTCGAACAATTGAATCAGGTTCTTCACAATCCAACCTAAAGAGATATTTTTAGCTGGAGATTTGAACTTGGAGGTGTAAGACATTACTTTAAACTGTGGAATAAACCTAGTGAATCTTGTTTGGATTAATTCCAGAAGAACAGTATGTATTATGGCAACGTAGGAACCACAAATTGTACAAATTATTCTAAATGAGATTTCATGAAATCATTCTGTTCTTACAGTATAAAGTGTCTTGGAATTAACTGTTGTTAACTGCACAAAGAGTCTTTAATAACTTAATGAGTGTTGTTGGTTCCCATATTTGTTGTGTATAAAGACTGAACATAAATAAGAGTTGTGTTACTGGTCTGTAAATAATACCATTTTACACAACTGGTAAAATACCATCACACCCTAGAGATTTGTTTTACATTCTTCTAAGACCTGCAGCACTTCTGCCTGTTCTATGCTGATATTATTCATTACAGAGTTCTGTCTGTCTTTAACCTGCGCTATTTTGTATTGTTATTATCTCCTGTGAGACTTGTCCTAAACAATCCAAAACCATTCATCTGCTGTTGTAGTACTGAAAATAACTGCTATCGCTTTAGTCTCCATTGCCATGTTTGTTTATATCACTCTCCCAGAATCTTTCTGATAACTTTTTTGACCTGTGCTTGTGTTTCTGTGATCTTCAGCTCCACCTTGTTCTTCTCCACTTGCTCCATAAAGTGGTTCCTCTTATAATGTAGTAATGGATTTAGTCAACCTTTGCCAATTCCTTCTGGGATGGACTTGTCCTTTAAAGTACTGCCATTGATTCGCTGTTGATTCTATACTCAGTCTTATCATTTTTGATTACATTCGTATTTAATCGCCTCTTAGAAACAGAAAAGGAGAGGTTAATGCATTATTTTGTCTTTGAATTATAATAATCTGGGAATTCACACCTTGACCTAGCTGTTAAACAGGGTTTATGACAAAGACACAAAACTATCCTGCTAATGTCCATACTAAAAAAAGAGAAAACGTCTTTGCTGCAACACTGTGTGGCTCTCCTTTGTGATTCAGATCGAGCAGATCAGTTTGCACTTGCACTTTTCCCCCCTGAGTTTAGGGAGTCTGTCATTATTTTAGTAAATATGTTCAAATCAAGTGTCTCTCTTGACTGACTTACTGAGGCATCATTACATTTTATTCAGACACCGGCATTCGTTGACATATTTCCTGCTTAATCTCTTGTAGAAATAATCAAAAGTTGTACTCTTTTGTTTTCTTTACTATAGAAAACCAAGATGCCCTGGTTTCAGCACAGTGGTCACTTAAAAACCAAACCCCCTCTAGTGGCATGGAGTGAATTTTGCAGACTGGTGGTGGTCAGTTTCAAAGTGCTGTGGAAAAGCTTTCAGAAACATTTTCTTTAGTGTCGTTTGCTTAACAATTCTAAGTGTTTCACTGGAGACTTGCCGCTGCGAGAGTCAGTATTGCCGTTGAACAATTTCAACAGAGGAAACCCTTTACTTTTTAGTAACCCCTGGTTATCACAGTAACGATCATCCATCCTTTTCAAAAGTCCAAGTTGTTTCATCATATACTACAATGCTAGAATCAGAAATCGCAGCAATAATGATAAAACAAACCCCTCAGGAAGTGGTTTCTGCATTAGTACTGTTTAGGTAGGACAATCTGTTTGATTTCAAATACTGTATTACACATGAAGGATGTGAATATGATAAATTTACAGTTTTTAGTTTATTTTCATAGTAATGCAAATTGGTGCAGAAGAACATGAGACTACATGGCTCTAAGGCCTTGAGGTGTCTACTTGTGTTATTTGGAGAAGGGTGACTTTTTTCCCCCTTTACAGAATTATTGAGCGCCAATGTTCTGGTATTTTAATACATGGAAATTGTCTTCTTCTACAATATCAATTTTCATGTGAAGAGTACAAGACAGTCGTGTAAGTGTAAGCATAGGTGTTGCAATGTCAAATATCTATTTAAAGTGGAAGATTACACACTGTAACTGTGTCACTGGACTTCATGTGAATTCATGTGTTAGCTACTGTATAGGAACTTCTAGGGGGACTTAAGGGAATGTGTCTAATAAGTAGTAAGTATATGACTTAAGGCTCCTTTTGCAGTTGTACTATACGAGTTCAGAGTTAACTATGGCAGCTCCCAGTAGATACAGTCAGCGAAGCTTTGAAAAAACGGTGTAATAATATCTATAAATGGGAGTGTGTAAGTGTATTTTGTTTTATTTAATCCTGATATTACTCAGCTTGCCAAGTATTGCTTTGAAAAATGTTATGCCTTTTGTAGACATTGTTACAGAAGAGGTTTGCTTCTTAGCAGTGCAAGTTTTGCCGCTGTGTTTGATCCCAGAAATAATGCTGGCTGGATCTCAAGGAGATAATGTTCTGTGTTTGTGCAGATGAGCTGGAGCTGTGCGTTGCCGATGGAGACGCTAAAGTCCGGGCTAGACAGAGACTTCTGATCGACACCGTCTGGGGACCGTACAGAGGGAAGATTCAACAGGAAGACGCCACTGAGGAACAGGCCAGAGAGGTGAGAGGAAACTCGAGCTGGTGAATGAAATCATTTTGAAGCCCCTTTTTCTAATGCGCTCTGAACATCCTTCATTCAGCTGTTCAAAGCAGTGCTATCGTTCTGAAACATCTTACTGGACATTGTTTTGTCTGTTCATCAAGGCATTTCAAGGAAAAGCAAGACCCTGCTTTGAATAAGAACTATTCAAGGAGAGAAAAACGTACTTTTATTATTGAAATTTGGTAAATAAAATTCAGAACTTGGCAGTAAGGATGTTGTAGCTCCCTGAGAGTTCTCTCCTCTGAGGACAGATTCATTTTTCTCCCTACAATGTCTTTCAAATTCCTCGAAGGAAGATTTATTTTCAGATATATTATTCAGGTTTAAAATCACCATGGACTGTGATTGTGTCTATGGAGCTACTAACTGCTCATCCTAAGTGAAGCTAATTCACTTATTTTAATTGATGATGTGTTATAACTAATAATTCATTTTACAGCATGATAATGTCCCAAAACATGACAAAACAAGGTGTTTGCTGGGAGAAGAGAAGTGGAAGTTCGTAGACTGATCAAGTCAGTCTCCAGATTTAAATTCGATTGTATGTGGATTTAAAGTTTGAAGCACTGGCATAGATTCGAATTGACTGAAGTGAGGCACTTATATGTTAAGTGTTTTGTGAGGTTAATGGATTGCAAACCCCATGTGGTTATTGTTCTGAAATGTGCTTCCCATACTTAGGATCACTTGAAATCACGGGGTCGAATTAAAATGAGATAAAACATGTTAATTTATTAGATATTTTATTACCCTTATCATTTGGATTAATCTTATTATCACTTTTACAGATTTCTTGATAGTAAAACAAATTAAAAACTTTGGCTTTGCTGTCCCAGTACCTTTGGAAGGCGCAAAAGATGTGGTCAGATTGATTGTTCTTCAGATAAACTGGCTCAAATTAAGAGGCAAACTCGCACAGAATGGAGTTGCAATGCATCGTTTGCATTTAGTTTTATCAGGAGCACCTGTCTCTTCACTGCCTTGTGTTTAATACTTAGGTGGAGCAGATCTTCATCCCAGTCCACTTTGCCATTTTCCTTTTCTGATGATTTAAACTGGCTCCTCCAGTTAGCTTCTGGCAAATCATGCAGTGCTCCTGCAATCACAAACGAGACGCATTCAGAACTCGTTAGAGCTCAATCGTAAATTATCCGATTAATCTCATTCTCTCGAGGAGAGACGCATAGCCAGTGCTACTGACTTTTGAAGCTTTGTTTCGTTTTTGTTTTTGTCACGTCCTGCTCTTGACAGTCTTCCATATTCCTGGTTTTTAAATGGATGTCTTAGTGTTGGCTCTGAAAAATTTTCACCGCTTTCACAGATTAAAATGTATGTTGTGACTTTTTATTTGGCGTTCCATGGTCTGAAAAGTTCCGAAATGCTGCTGGTTTTGTTTCTTGGTGCGTCTTTTTCAAGCAAACGTACACCATCTTATCTGTTAAAAATGTGACCTCTGATTAACCCTTACCTCCCTCCAGCCCACCCTCCCCCTTCTTTTTATCTCTCCCTGGCGCCATCCTTCTGGACAAGAGTCCAGAATGATTGATTTCTCGTTGATAGTTGCTCATTTCTAAGATTTCATTTATTATCAGAATTCTTCCCTCCCATCCTCTCTCTCTCTCCCCCTAATGCTCATGTTCAGGCAAAGGTTCTTATCATTTTGGCTTTGTTGATGATTTCCAGTTTGGCCCAGCCTCTTTCCCCGCTATCTTGGAGCTGAATAACTGAGGAAGGGCTCTGAGTATTAGCTAGAGATAGCAGCTGATGACATGTTCCAATAGGATCTACATGGCTGTGGCATCCATTCAGAGAAGTCTACAGTCCCAGGCCTGGTCAGTCTGGGGCTGACAAGAGAAAACCACTGCAGGGGGTTGTTTTGTTTCTGTGAATAATGATGAGGCATTTATGACTATGTAATTCAGGTTAGAAAGAATGGAATGTCATTTGTTCTATCTTACTGTATTTGTTTGATTGCCTTAGCTGCCTATTGATCCAAGAATCTAAGTGCATCTAATTTTGTATGTGTCCCAAGTGTGTGTTTCATTGTTGGAGTGGTTCTTTTCATAGACTTTGGATCACGTTTTGGTTTCCACCAACCCTGTTAGCGCAGAGCTAAAGAGATTTCATCCAGCAGTGAACTGAAGTGTTCAGTAGTTTATCAGGGGGCAAGTAGATTTATAACTGAGAACAGGAAGCACTTCTTTACACAAAGAATCGAGGACTGCAGAACAAGTTACTCAGCTGTATAATCGGCGCTGCTACTGCAGGTTCCTTTGAGTAACAGTAGGATGGGATCCTCAGATTAGAGTAAGCTGCTCAAAACCAAAACAAGCTAGATGGGCCAACAGTTTCCTCTTCATTTGTAACCTTTTAAAGTTATGTTCAGGAATAGCTTGCTCTATTACTCGGGAGCTTGCATTGGCTTTTGGTTTTCATTCAGCCTGAGCGTGTAGTAATTCAAAGTCAATTGCATTTCTTTTCTGCATTTGTCCAAAATATTCATTTAGTTTTATATTTAATGGAACCCACCGTATACTGGCATACAGAATCAACGCAAGCCTACAGAAGTGCACACCAATTTGATCTGCTGCATTTCCTAAAATACCTGTACCCCTGTAGTGTATTGCTGTTGTGTGGCTAGATAAGTTACACCTGTTTCTCTGTTTTCTTCTAACTTGAGTACACAGAGCTGTTGCCATTGTGTTCATGAGAGATTTATATTAATTTTTTGTCAGTCTATTTGTCAGTAAAGCTCTTGTCCTGTAATTGCACACAGATGTCTGGGCTGACGGTCTTGGAGTGGAGAGTTAAGCAAAATTCCACATCAGTGTGCAAACGGGCTGTAAGATTTGAATTTATTTAGTTTCGACAGGGGACAGGATAGAGGAGAGCTAGATGGAGATTTATAAATCTTCAAAGGGCAGAAGAAAACCATAAAACTCCAATTAGTGCGTCAAACAAAGTGGTGTCAGAGGGATTATAGGACATCTTGCTTACTGAATAGATGAAGCTGATGCAGAACTGGAGAGACATTTTACATTTTCCAACCTTTTTGTTAAATATCTGCTGCTGCCATATTAATGTAATGGTGTATGTTTAACAGCAAAAGATAAAGTACTTCTGGATTCTGGATTGTTCTTCTGGATTGTTCTTTCCAGCTGTTTCTTCCTCAGCTTGTTGTAAACTTATGCATTTCCAAGCACAGGTGGTTTTGTATTTAGGAAGTGTAGTGTACAAAAAAGACTGACATTCAGAGAGGAAGAGGCGAGTAAACACAAATCCACTTTTTGGGATTTAGTGATATGCCATTTGAATTCAGTCAATAGCTTCTGGCATATTTACTTCCATGATTTATGTTCAACAATGGTTCAGACAATGATCTGGCATCATTCCATTCTGTTGGTGGCAGACTCCAAGCAAAGCCAGCATGTAAAGCATTTTATGAACAAATTTGCATCTATTTGGCCCGTAAAGATCTGCTATCGGTTTAATACTAGGCTGCACTAACGCTCAACAAGGCCCACTCCCTGTGGTAATATGCACTTTCACTTAAGCAGAGAATCTGAAAGGATATCAAAACAAGTTAGAGCACTTAACGGTTCATTTACAAATGAGTCCCAGTGCAGTATTTGCACTCTTGAAGATGCTGCAGTTTGCCAGTGAATCAGAGTGTTAAAACCTTGGGTCTGTGCTCATGCGGAGCAGCTGGGTTTCATAAATGGTTTCCCTCATGTGTTGTGTCCCAAAGGTCGCGATAAGCCCTAAAGCCCCTCCAGAACCACACTTTTGCAACGTGGAGCAGGTGTGGACTTAAGGTGCGAGAGCTTTCAAGGTTGCGCTGTTACCAAAAGAGTCTTAGGACACGCTTGGGAGGCATCACTCGCTGGTCACGGCCAACTTCCAGACTGAATATGATCTCACCTGTCCCGACACAAAAGAAGTAACAGCCCAAAGGACAGTACGTGTTCATTCGTGTAGTACGGGCTCGACTCAAAACAGGTGAACTAAACTAAATAAGGAAAACTTGGCAATAGCACTCTGTTAATTCAAAGCTTTGTACTATTAAAAGCATTGTCTTTCCGTGTACAAAATGCACCGTACTGTAAACAACTCTTCAAAAGTCAAAATGCTGTAGTCAGTTAACAAAATAATATTAATAGCTTTACCTCAACACTTCAGACCTAGAGTACATATGAATCTAAAGTAGCCTAATTGTTTTTACGTGAAACTCTAAAAAAGTTCAATTTTACTTCAACTTCAATATTTTCTTCTCCATGGCAGCTTCACTCCGATGTGATAGGTTACAACATGAAATGTCACCTTTCCGCGAGGAATGTGGGTTATAACCTTCAGAACTCTAGTCTGATGCGGACTTGTTAGAAGGGTGCAGTAAGGGCTGCTTGGGGTGCTGTGAAACACAATTTAGAAGTGGGACACCCCAAGAACTTTATATGATTGCAATTTTGCAAGTATGGCTTTTGGGACATGGTCATTGTACGCACCTGTCCGGCTGTGCTTGGAAGGATAATATCTGAAGATATTCCGTCACATGACTTTCTCTTATACAGATTAGTAGGTCAAAACTCTGGAAGTGTTCTCATTTTTTGTTACTTCAAAACAATACATTTATCAAGATCTGAAAAATATTTTTAGTTACTTCTCTGCAGACCTAAAAATCGTTTAGAACTAAAACATTTTCCTGCAATTTCATGTTATGTTCACCATATTATAGTTACTGTTTGCTTTCAGGTTGAGTGTATAGGCCAGTCTGTAAACTGCTTAGTGATATCTTTTCTTTTCAAGTAGAAACATAATTTGTTTTTTAATTTGATAGAGTTACATATAGAATTCCAAGGAAAGGCAGATTGCTGATCTCCGTGGTGGTTGTGTATATTATTATTACAAACTTAGTTTTGAAACCATCTCTTAGTTGTCATCGTACAGTTATGGAAATGTCA